CCGCCTCGAGTTCTTTCACTACCTTCTTATTTCCTTCCCATACTTCTCCGGCGTACTCTAGCGGCGGTACGATTACGCTCTTCAAAACCGTCAATTTGATGCGTGTATCGAGGTGCCGGTTTGCGAGTACCGTACGGTGGGGGGGGGTGACAATATGTTGCTGAAAACCGTTGGCACAGCTAGACAAATCAAGCTGTTATATGTACGTTGAAGGAGGCGGTTCCTCGATATAAGGCGGCCGATTTCAGTTGACCCCCTCCACCTTACATCGCCCCCTCCGCATGCTGTAGGGTCACATCAGCTACATGCATAGCGTCACCAGAGTTAGCAGCAAACAAAAGCATGTCCGTGCCTAGACAAACTAATTGGTCGACCTTGCTGTATCGTTGAATCGGATAGACTTACCGCTAGCTTGTGTCAAGGCGGGGTGATGTGCTAGTGATGACCTACTGTATGTACCTTTGCAAGAACGAGAGCAACCTTCTCCGGCTGGCACAGGTCCGGGAAGAATTGGTACAGCTTGAGCAAGGCCTTGTTAGCCTCAAAGTCGTATGTCCCCGACTTCACCTGCGCGACGTTTGTTTCGTGTGCAAAATAAGCAACGCGCACGGCAGCGGGTTAGGTGAAGGGAATACCCCGACATATTCTAGCTTACTGCACAAGATCCGCGCATGATGGCAGTGTTGCTTCGGACGTCGCTATGGAGGAGTCCCGGGGGGGCCATGCAAATGACTTACAACCGCGCCGCACCACAGGAAAACCCACCAAACCATGTGCGGCAAACAACGGCCATGTCCAATACAGGCACAACCGATCTTGAAAGTAGGCACGGGTTACTTTTTCCGGTCAAAGGGGTGGGTGGTCAAATCGCCCAAGACGAGGGACGATCTACTCTTCTAGACTTCCTTGGACACTACCACTACGTCTTGAGAGAGACGTATGGCTGACGATTCGATGATACATACACGCCCCGGTCGCCCCGGTGGTCTAGTGGGTAGCCTCGTAGCCTGCTAAGGGCCAGGTCATGGGTTCGAGTCCCGATAGAGTGAGTTTTTTCTCGCTAATTAAATCCTGGCCTCCGTTGGAAGCGACGCGCTGCAAAGCTCGTTGTTAGTAAACTTGATCGACTTCATAAGTCGCGAGGGAAGGGATTGCTGTAACCTTCTCGCGATAAAAATACCTCAGGCAGGAACCGCAGGAGGGGGTCCAACCCCCCCCTCCTATGTGACCCCGGTTGGGTCGTCTACCTGGTAGAAGTGGAGGATAGGGGCCAGAAGGGCAGACGACAGAGTCCAATGATGGGAGAAAAACAAACAAAAACAAACAAAAACACGAAATATACACGTTTGGTTGCCCTCGACAAGCGGCGGCGAAGTCATCCCCCGTGCCGCCCCTCAAGGGCTGTGTGGTGATCGGAAAATCCATTATGCGTCTGGCCCTTTCGAACGCAAGGGTGGCGTAATGACACTCATTTGCGGCCAGGGATGCTGTTGAGTGCGCCGCCCTAAGTACCCCCCGCGCCGGCCCCGTTGGATCTGTCTCCTCGCCTGCTCTTCAAGATATTCCTCCAGCTGGGGCACCGCCCTGTGGTCGAAGTACTCGTGCTCCACGACCGGCCTCAAAGCCTCGTACGATGCCGGGAAGTCCATTTGTTCCAGCAGCATGATGAACGAACGATGAAACAGGTAGTCCCGAACGCGCCGCACGACGAAGAAGGAGACCTGCGCGGTTTGCCGGCAGCACGACGACGGCGATACATGAGTCGCACTCCTTTGCTGGCTGTCCACGTACCGCGGAATAAACCACCCACATTCACAGACGGAGACCGATATATCCATGACAGCAACCCGGCGGTGTCATCGTGAATACTTGCACGAGCTCACGAGAATCGTGCCATTTGGGTTTCAAGAGACGCTTCTGTTGGTTGAGAAAGTGGCCGCCATTGGGGGTGGGGGGTGGTATGCTACATCTTTCGACGAATACCTATAGACCTTAGGTAGGACTGCAGCTACGGCGGTACATAGTCTAATGCAGCTGTTTGTCTGCTTTGGAGAACAATAATCTCAAACATTTGCAGGAGGCGGTTGCGCATGACGACTCAATCTCGATAGTGCGTAGACTTGACTTGAGAGGTGTCAACTACCTCACGTACGTACTCTCCATCTAGGTCATCGGCAGACACCAACACCTGCTTTGCATATTGCGAATTTCTGCAAAAGATGTGGCGGTGGCTCTCAGCTGGAGACATGGTCGTAAAGTTGTTCCTATGTGGCATAGCAGTGCATACTTCGTCCTAACACAGACACTACTGTTCAGCAAGGCAGCAAGCCGCAAGTCCGCTACAGCCATTGCTGTCACACACCTTTTTCAAATGCTGTCTCCTTGATTAAAGCCACCCACACGTTACGCTAGCCTTTGCAGAACAGCTCCCTTCCGCCCCTTCTCGATAAACGACCTCCACGTGCTTGGAACCGACTGGAGCAGAGGAGAGAGCCGCGAGGGAAGGCAGACAGCAAGCGAGGCAGTCGGGAGAGAGAGAAGCACACGGAGCAGGAGTCGCCACGGCGTCCCCCGCGTGCGCGCGCGAAACCTTGGCCTCCATACAAATACAAAAAAAAAATGAGCGAAATCCCGCCGCATCCATCCATCCATTCGCACGATAGTAGCCCCACACATCGTTGTGTTGAACAGCGTGCATCCGACAACAACGCTCCCCGAGTCCGTCGACCTTTCTCGCCTCTTGTTTGGGCCTTGTTCTGTTGATAGCCGCCGTGACTGGCGCTTGGGGCGTGAATCCTGCCAGGTTACCGCGAGTTAATCGGAGCGCCTCACTTGCCTCAAGTTGTACCATTCGAAGAAAGCAACCCTCGAGACAGCGGTCTCACAGCAGTCGACGGAAGGAAATGCAACTGTGTGTAGGGCGGTCTATGGCGATGCTGGCGATCGCGCTGAGAAACGCCAGCGGCTTCGTGGGGCCTGTTCGATTCACCGCTGCGAGGTCGGCAGGTGAGCCCTAGAGGGTTTTTGTTCGTACAGGGGTGTGGTGTCTTTCGTTCAGCCGCGATCGTTTATCAAGTTGAGGTTGCGGTCTGTTGGCAGCGCGGGAAGCTTCTGCGGCGATTCCCCGGCCCTCTTCGTCGCGCTGCGCAAATCTTACCCCGGCTCATTACAATGCTGGTGTTCTCCTTTTCCGCCCTGCTTCAAAAGTATGTCGGCCTCCCCACGGAGGCTTGGATATCGTCAATTCCACATCCGTGGTTGTGTTGCTGACCTTATGTGTGCCAGGTGTCGTCTTGAGGATGAGCTCCGGGCCAACGTCTGCCTCGCGCCCTAGCGTGCCGGTCCTCGATGCACAGGCAGCGGAGCTCAAGGCCGAGCGGCTTTGGGGCATGGCGGACGCCCAGAAGCCGGGGTTGTCGGTACCATCTGAGAGATTAGATCTTGGGGAGGTGAGGTGCTGTTGTTCTGAGTCGGCCGGTGTTCCGCGTTATTTGATGCGGCGACGCATCAAAATCCAGTTGCACACACGATGATGAAGAGTTTGGTGTCGTGCCCATTTCCTTTCTAGATCGTCAGCAACATCTGCTGTACATTGACGATCGCTCGGCACCTTCGACTGGACAACAATTTAGTTAAGGAAGAAGTACATCAAGTCAAGCCAAAACGCGGGCAGTTGCAACTTTCACAGTACGGGCGGCTTTTTCACTCTCTGCAACAGCCCTTTGCCTTGAGTTCAGCGTAATCTTCTCCAACACATGGTTGGCGGCGGGTCGAAAATTGACAGCACCAAGCAGGGGTTACTTTGGAAACAAAGGCGGCCTTCCGTCTACCATCTTGGTGCGAGTTCGGATAGGTACCCAAGTTACAGTCGCCCGGCGGTTGGTTTTCCACACGGTGTGCGGCAAAGTTCCCTCTCTGGACTCAGTTCAAAGGGATTGCGGCACTGGCACCAACGTCAAAACCTCAAGTGCCCGCAGTCACGACTCTCCTTTACTATGTCTCATGCGTTTTGGCATCGATACACAACCGTAATTTGACGTTGTGGTTGTTTTTCGTGTTTGGTGTGGTCTCTGCTCATGTTCACCTTTTGATATCCATACCGGCGAGACCTCAGTTTGACCGAGTGCGGCAGATAATGCTTGTACTTGGCGCTTCCTCGCCACACATCGGTCAAAAGAAACCGGCCTTGCCTCTAGTGGTAGACTAATTTAACGCCACCTTGCGATGCTTGGCACCACCATGTTGGCGTTGCTGTTGGACGTTTCCCTCTCCGCTGGGCCCCGGTTTTGTGGGCCATTTCGTTCCTCGAGGTGGTGTCCTTGACCTTGGCCTTGATGAGGCTGTTTCGACACAAAATCTCTTCTTCGAGCTTCTTTTCAGAGGCCTCTCACGTTCCGTGACTCAAGTGGGAGTAGCCTACCAGCTGGAGGCACGGTCAGTTTCTTTTGTCGGCGCGTGGCGAGGAAGTGCCACATATTACCGAGCGGATTCAGTCAAGGATAAAAGTGGAAAAACAGGAAAGGAACTCATCGCTCCCGCTCGGTACGCGGCGCCAAACAAAATACGGAGCACAAGATATAGAAGAATCACCCATCAAGACAATAATTGTCGCACGTTTTTTTTTCTACACCCCTGACTCTCCTGAGGGCTGAGTGTAGTCACCGCCGGAGTTGCACCAGCCATGCCATTCCCCGACGAAATATCGTTATAACAGCGTGTCGGGAGCTCAAGATCAGGACACCGGTGATACCTGTATCCTCGATTCCAACACAAGCAGACAAACTCGACGCATGGTGTCCCTCACCCCCGCACCATTCCTGGAATATATATCCTATGCCAGATTCTCGCCGGACAGCCTAACCCCCGCCGTACGGAGACAAGCAAAGGGTTTCCGGGATTTTTATCACGTACCCATGCATGTATCTCGGAAAATTCATAATTGAAAAAAAGTTATGAACACGACATGGGTGTATAGGTGCGGCAGCTTCTTCAGAGGCCGAAAGAGAAATAGAGTTGAATCAAGACCTTGATTGATTAAAGGATGACAGCAATGTGGGGAAAGCAAGAGGGAGCCCGCGCATCATGTCCACCATACAAAAATAATTGACGTAACCCCCGGAGGCCCCGTAGATCAGTACTGTGTTGAGGTCCCCAAATATCTGGGAAGGGCATTGGGAGGCTATCAAGGTAGTTTAGTAGGCAACGACTTTGTTTCAGTTATTGTCCCAATAACGTTGCACGTTGCGAGAGCTTTTCTACACCTAACGTTGGCTTATTAATAGCTTGTACACGGACTTTGTGTTTCACCTAATTTTTTTTACCTGTAATGAGGGAAAATGGTGGCCCCCTTAAATAGTGGGGATGAGGAATCCGCCGCCGCCGACCCGTTTTCCTTGCCTGCTATCCCGCTGTCAGACCGGTTTGTGTCCAATCGTGTATTGGTCGTCGGCCTCAAGAAAGAGCGGAAGAGTGGGCAGCGAAGCCCACAAATAGCTCCATGACACAAGGCTCAGCTAATACATACCCGCACCAAACTAGAATTTTCCCGATCGACATAAAAGTTGTCTTTGTTGGAGATATAGGTACAGGTATTACCGACAAGAGGATCGTGGCTACAAGTAGAGATGATAATGATTTTTGAAGTGAAGACGACTTCAGCAACAGCGTGCCAACAACATTGACAACGAGACACAACACACTTGTTCATATCCATGTTCAATTGCCTACTGGATGTAGGCTCTTCCCACATGACCTTGCTCGTTACACAGCGTTTTAACGTCGTAATGGAAGTCCCCTAAAGTCTTGACCGCCCCTGAAATTGAACGAAACAGGTCCAAGCGGCTGCTGAGAGCACGTCGCGGCAAGATTCGGTGAGCATGCCTGGTATGGGTGTTTTCGGCAAGAGGGAGAGGGACGACTTCATCGAAGGGGAGGGGGAAACATCCGCATTGCGGCGGTATCAGTACAGCGATCAGCTTTTGACGGACGACGACAGCGGAGAAGAGAGCAGGGAAGATGACGGCAACGAGTACTACATTTGATTGGCCTCGAATCCGGACAAAGTTAGACCGTAACGTACGTGCACCTCACGCCACTGGGAAAGTGGTATGTAGGCCTGGAAATTTCTGCGAGGTACAATCAATCCGCCGTGGACCGCTTATGGCGAAGTCTGTCGGCTGGTTTTGCTTAGTGTTGATTCAACCACCGTTTTTTTTTTATCCAGACGGCTTTCTATGTAGCTGCAACTCCGCCTCGTCTCTGTGGAGGTGTTTCGCATGTGGCTGACTTGTGCTAGTAATCTACTAAAATTGTGGAAGAAAACTGGGAACCCTGAGGCCATGAAGTGGAAGCTTGAGCTTTAGCGTTGGGCCTGATGGGTTGCGGTCGATCTGCCTGCAACATGTTAGTTTCGGGAAATGTTTCACCTTGACGAAGAAGGCCTTAATAGGAGAGAGCCGTTGTACAGGCAATTGATGAACTTTGCAAGGTGTTTGAGGCGGTGCTAGCGTCCCGCCGGGAGGACGGGGAATTCTGGTCTGATCGCAGGGAGACAAATCAAATCAAGAACGTTGGTTGTGTAGTGGTTCTTCTTCCAGTGTTTCCTGTGCTACTGTACCATGCACTCGCCTGTCTCGCCTCTCTGCGGAATGCATGTGCTACACATGCTCGCTTTGGTGGCGTTTGGTCTGCTGCTTGTTTGAAGTCATGACCCTAAGTGGGACAGTCCGTGCAGCGCTTTGCGGTTCAAGGCCTAATAGCATGCAAACTAGCAGGCAAGTGATTTCAGCCAAAACGCGAAATTTCGGGTGAACATTCATGCCTGGCGGCATACTTCTTCTGGTTATTTTCGTACCCGGCACACCTTTTGCGTAAAGGAGATGCTTGTTGCGAAGGGCTTCACGTTCCGTGGACGATTGTAAATGCAAGCACATGCATGATTGGTCCCATTCCGACAATATTCAGTCCGATCCAGACAAGGAGGATGGCTACAAGTATTGCTGTCGTTCTTGGAATCAAAATACTGCTCTCATCGCGGGTATCTGAACACGAGAGAAAAAGTACTCTCTCGTCTCTCTTGCTATGGAATGCTGTCCCTTCCGTTTGACCGAGCATTGGAGGCTTGGCACGGCAGCGGTCTTGGGTGGGTTGCCATATCTCTTGTGGGAATATCTTGATCCACCTCGTTTTTTGCGGGGCACGTTTTGAAAACTGAACGCCATGTAGCCGAGCAATCGGCGACACTCTGATCTACTGGTCGGTGAGGAAATTGTTGTTGTTGTCTTCATGCTGAAGGTAGACCGTGGTTGGTGGGGAAGTAGAGCAGGCCAAGCAAGGCTGTAGCTGTGTTCATGTTTAGGGGGGGGGCACCAAACAACAAATGCAACTGCAGTCTGCTGTTGTACTCAACAGCTTTCGAAATCATTATTTGGCGCCCCCCCCATCCGTAGATTTCGTAGATCCACAGCAGAGGCATCCACCTGACTGAGGTTTTTGTTCATCTACAACTGGCTCTGTCGAGCTTGTGCATTGCAAACTGCTGTTAAGGCACGGCTTAACTGGGGCACTCGGGTCTTGCTACTGGCTGATTGCACCAATCGAAAACGTTGAAGCTACATCGTCGAGTCTTGAGCGAAGAAAGACGAACACACGAGGCAGCCGGCGGGGTGCTTCGCCAACCTTCATGATCAACCCATGACCCGACCAACAACTACGCTCCGAGCGCCGCTGGTGCTATTCTTCTCGTTGGTGGTGGTATGGCTTCCGGGCTGCTTCGGTGGCGCTCCTGGAATCGACGGTTGTCCTGCTCGCCGCCACACCGCACGAGCAGCCGACTACAGCCTTGGGGACGCACCGGTAGCAGCAGCAGCAGCAGCAGCATCTGTTCGGTGTAGTCGTCGCCACCGCACGCCGGTTGTCGCGTGCATGAACCACTGCACTCTTGGGGGAGTGGCAACGTTAGCGAGACCGTTGTGGCCAGGCCGGGGCCAACGCTCAGCACAACCTCGTGGAAGCCCACCGGCCCTCTGGACGTTGGCATGTGCGGCCGGGGTGGTGGCAGTAGCGTCGGCCAAGTCGGCGGTGTCGCGACTTGTGCTGGCCAGCGACGGCGGGGAGCAGGACGGAGGGGGAGCTGCCGTCGACAAGGTTGGAGCGGCCATGATCTCCTTCATCAAGGCGTACAAGAAGGAGCTGTCGCCTTTGATCCCTCCGGCGTGCCGCTTCTTGCCGACGTGTTCGGTGTACGGCGTGCAAGCAATCGAGAAGTTCGGCCCGACGAAGGGGGCGGTTCTGACGGCGTGGCGTTTGATGCGGTGCAACCCTTTCGCCGGGTACGGGATCGATCACCCGCAGTGGCCTCCCCCGGGCTGGTTTGCGGGAGAAAGGTGGTGAATGCATCACGTACTACTGCTGCTGTCGCGAGCGCAACTTTCCGCACGCGGAATTCAACAGCATAGTTGTAAGAAGAGTAAGGTTCACTTGCGGTGGTCGACGACGGGGCGAGGCGTGATGTCTTGTCCTACCGTAGCTTGTAGTCAATAGGCTGCGTTTTGGCGACAATGGGGTCACCCGTAGTCTGTACAAATACGGCGCCGAGAGCTGATGTTCAGCTCAACCGTATAGGCTTTGTTCCACTGCTGCTGCGTGTGTGCTAGGTGCGTAGCGGTTGTGAAGATGTGGTCGCACTTACGCGCCAATGTACATTGTGTACACTTACCTTGTTCCACATGTACAAAAACCCGAAGTCACTGGTCTAACCTTCAGCATTCGTAAAGAACTGGCTGTTATGTGTTTTGCCTTGCAGCCGTCGGGCAAGAGCGCTGTTGCGTGCGTTGACCAGATAACAGCGTATGAACCTAGTCGATACGTTCGTTGTGGTTTCGGCGTCAACGGCACTGCTTGAGGCTTTCGTGGAGGGCGGAAGACTCATCTTGCTCGAACCTGTTGTTGTCCTCGTCGGATGAAACGTCACTTTTTTTTTGCGGGGCTGCCCTTCTTGGGTCATGAGGCCTAAGTGCGAGGTTGTTTGTAGAGAGGAGATAGACAACTGGAAATAATGGCGCATCCGATGATGCCAAAGCACACAGACCAGTGTTCGAACTCCACGTCCCTTGTCGTGGGACCGGCAAGGCGAGTATATGCGCAATCTACTCGCTCATTCTTGAACGAAAAGTGATGAGAGTGATGAGAGTAAATACATGTGCCGAGTTTTGGCCTGACGCCACGGCGGCTGGCGCACATCGTCAGCATCACGCCAAAGCGATAGTATCCACCATCTACTGCTATAGGGAGGAGGTCGTCGGTCCAATCCACCTTGGTGACAAGCGTCCTCCGCACCGTGCAAAATGACGAGACAAACCTCGCCTTCATCTACTGCAGCATGCTTGCTGGTACAACACGGGCCCCAAAGAATGTACTTCCTGGGCATTCATCAGCTCATTGAAAGGCACTTCCAGCAAAGGCACGGAATCCGTCGCGGAACAAAGTGGTCAATCGCTTGTCACGTGTTTAATATTTTTTCGAACCAACACACCATATCTCCCCCGTTTTGCTTTGTACATGATAACGCGCGATGCTCGATCAACAGCACACCTGACACCTACCCGCGCGCAAACATCATTGCCGGTGTGCGCAACATGTTTTGGAACCAAGTCTTTTGAGCACAACTCATGCTTCTAATATCAACATACGATCAATTTTACGAAACCCTCCTCTCAGCAACTTGTTCCGTCCTCTCAACAACTTTCTCCGTGCATCCGGTAGGAATAACCCCTGCGTTGAGCATCTCCACCTCAGCTGCCACATTTTCTCTCGCTTTTGCCTCGAAGGTTCGTTGGTATTCGTCAGTGGCGAATATCGAGCCTGTCGTGAGAAATTCGCGCAAAATTTCCGCTCGCTTTTTGCAGTACGTGTCGGCTGGAACATGGATGTACTCTTCACGAATCTGGGTTTACGCCAGGCGGAAGCAAGAGCCGTGGGGGGATGATGGAATCTGCACGTTACTGCGTTCGAAAAGGACATAATATGCTTTATTGCGGGTGAAAGACGCAATGTATCTTCACCAGGTCGGTGAATCTCAATCTTTCGCCAGCTCATCATATCGTTGAAGTCTTCTGGCCAGCGCCGAATCGGAAGGTGTTCAATGCAAGGCCCGGAGAGGAAAAGAATAAGCTTCTTCGATGCAAGAAAACAAAACAATGCACATGCCGAAATGCGAGGTACACGTATGGAACCAAGGAAGCCTTTGGGCGCGTTGATGTTTGTAGAAGCCGAAATCAAACCATTAGACTAGTCAGAGCTGACTCGTCTAATGGATGGTTTCGGCTTCTACATGTTGCAGCCATGGCTGTTGCACGGCGGCAGTTGACAGGTCTCTCCAGTGCCGTCAACGATTTTTCAGCGAAGACAGCAGCGCCATGCCAAACACAACGGCTTGCACATCGTTGCGTTTTCGTTCACCTGTGAAGCGTAGGTGAGATAACCTCTACGTTCTCTCCCGACAACCGCCATGTCGAGGTCGATGAAAGCCCGCAGGTCTCGGTCGTCCGACCCGGAAACGCTATGTCGTTTCGTGGCGATGATGTAGTCCGAAACCGTAGTCGAGTCAGAGGCGCTCAATCCCACTGCCTCCGAGAACTTTCTGAACAACGCTTCGCTGTCCTCCTCGTTGCTCCCGCTCTTGGGGTCGTAGACGACGCTGTGGGGCATATTGGAAGGCGGGAAAGATTAAGATTTAGGTACCAATTTTGAGAGGCAACTATCCGCCGAGAGATGCAGCAGTCTGTTCGACGCCGTCTACAACAATCAGGACTACCTGGAGAGGTAAGAACACCTGGTTTGTCAGTATAGCTTGCATGCATTTGCTGCTAAAGACTACTGGTACGTGTGATACGGTCCGTGCTCCGGGATGCGCGGGCCGAACCCCAAGTTGATATATATCGCGCTCACGCGCGTACGCGGAGAGGCAGGGCATTGAAGCAAACGGACGAATAACAATTCGGTTTTGGGTACCAGACCCGCTGGGTATTTTCAAACGGCCGACGCTGCCATTGTAACTACCTCTAAGCGTTTGCAACATTGAATATACTTAGTACGGTCGCGTTGAAGGGTGGTACAATCATCTACGGCGGGACCACAAGTTTCGTGGGTGCTGCTCTCACTCGTGGAAGAAGATCGCCAGCTGAACAAGCCGTGGGTGTCGTAGGTTAGGAAAGTCTCTGTCGGCCTGTTCCAGCATGTCCGCGACGTGCTCAAGGGTATGGTAGTGGCGGCCTTCCTCGCTGCATATTTGTGTTGGGGGCATTTGGTTCACATCCAGTTAGAGAGCGGTGATATGTTGATTAAGAAACTGCTCTCTCTACCATTTCATCGCCACATGCTTGTGAAATTGGTACATAACATGCTATAGTAGCTCCGGAGCCTGTCGAGTTCATAGAAACATGGTCCACAATAAGTTCGAGCTAAGACCATGCTCCAATATTACAAATTGGGGTCTCAGCAGCTCGATGTTACGCATCTCTGAAGCAGGTACACTGGAATGCAGCAATTCTTATTTTGGGATATATTGCATGCAAGGAGGGCATTTGGGATATATACCCGATTCCCGACGGTCTCACGCATGGGGGTGTCGAGTTTCTGCGGAGGGAAGAGACACCCCCGCCGTTTGTATAGTACTCCCAGGGTTTTCGCGTGTGTTCCTCCTCTCGCGTATTCTGTAGAAAAAGTTTTCACGCCATGGTCTACTGTAACGAATGGACTAAATGCAACTCAAGTCTAAATGAATGCGTGAGAGCCTGCTCGCAATAACTACTGCTAGGGGGGTAGCAACACATTTATTTACGTTTTCTAGACTACAGCTTCTAGCATTTAGTGTGGGAATCTAAAGTTCTATGCGTCTGGGGATGGCCTACCGCTCGATCTCCACTTAGACCCTTGGTGTGCGCTTCGCTCTTTGCTATACTATGACCACCACCCCCTCCCACTCTTCCTGTGCATGTTTTACACACGTTGGGGCAGTTGATGGAGCATGGAGTCAGTGTATGGATACAACAATAGTCTATATCATAGTACTCTCTCAACTAGAGTTGTGAATCGGAACGATGTACACGATATATATCGTCCGATATATATCGATATCGGTATCGAAAATTCGTGCCGATGTTCCGACCGATGTTTTCTTAGGGGCTCCGTGAATCAAATTTAGGGTATGCGCAGCAGTACGGAGCCCCTGTACGCCACACACACACAGCACAGCAGCGCAGAAACAGCAGACAACAGCACCATGTCCAGAACCAACCGGGAAGTAGACACAGGGAGAGACCGAAGGAGGGTACTGCTGAGGATACGCGACAATACATCAATCTTAATCTTTTTTTTTTTTTTCTACATTCCGTGCGATGTTTGCAGCTGAAGTCAAGCCCTTTTTGATGCCGCATTTGGGCCCATTTTGACGGGAAATGAAAGGAAAATGCACCAAATTTTCTGCCTCCGGCGGCGCCTCCGGCGAGGCCCCCTCACCAGCCGGGGGGGGCCGATGGGGGGGCTCGCTTCGCTCGCCCCCATCACGGCTCGCTGCGCTCGCCC